CGGCCCTGTACTCCTAGCAGAAACTCACAAGCGTCAGCGGATGAGAAGTCGCCCGAATTCCGCTGTGGGGAGTTACGTGAGCCCAAGCGTATAATCATTATGGCAATAGAATTTCGCACTTGGCTTCCAAACGGCTCTATCTAGAGTACATGACCGTCGCTGTCAGCGTATATTGCCTGTTCCTCGGCAATCAGATCGACAAATGGATACTACCACACAACTACAAGAAGGCCACCGTTGCTCGTCACTGCCTTAGGCACCGGATACCGTACCATTGGACAGTCCTTGGGCACAAACAATACTGACACCTGTGTTCAATCGCCTTTTTCGCCCGACCTACAGCTGAAATTCACCTGTTCTGGTCGGTCTAAGTTTCCAACGGCAAACGTTACAACAACTTGTCGATCGCTGAAACGATCATCAACAGCAATTCACCCGCAGTTGTAAAAAAAAACGATGGCGCCTGCGGTTCAAACGCTTCCAGGGCATGGGGGAGCGGGTCGTTGATGAAAGAGGGTTCAAACTGATTCAGAGCCAAAACATTACTTTTTAATCTGTTCTCCTACACTTTATTTGACTAAAACGATCCACATTTTGGAATGACCTATTACCCATTCTATGCGAGGGAGTCTAATAATGTGTAGTTAAAGTACCTTGTACTGCCAGACGAGATCCTCACATGCACGACTGAGCACAGCTGATTCAGTCTGACCAGCATCTTGTAGACATTCCAATATGGACAAATCACTTTTTAAGTCTACTCCTTCCTGAATATTACAGTAACCTTTTGATGGATACACAATGGGGAGAGAAAGCGAGGAAGGAGAGAATCTAACGAACCTTGTTACAAATACGATGAACGTCTTCCTTACATGCATCGAAGCTCAAAAACTTTTCATCGCCGGAAGCCGCACTAGAATCAGTCAATTTCGTTGTAGGAATGGGTTTCTGTTCAAACTTTTTGACTTCACTGCCCTACAACCTCAGAGTAACACTGCACGGTAACACTTTATTCTGCTGGGTACTGCTAAAGTTGCTGGATAGCTTCTCTTCGCTTGTAATACCATAAGAAAACAATACCAGTTTTTTGTGAACATTTTTGCCTAATATTTTCAATCTTTCTATTTCTGTTGTGCAATTATTATTTCTACCAAAGAGATCAACCCCGTCAGAAAGACTTCTGTGTGATTGTCGAATGACTTCAAATTTCATGTCTTGGGAAGACTTAATGTGAAATTTCAAGAAGAAAAAAATAAAATGAAACCTTGAACCTACTCACCCTTGTTGTGGTCCAGCATTGTTGGGGACAGGGTTAGGAGGCTTCACTTGTTGCTCTTGGCCTGAAATGAAAAAAAATAATATCCTATTCTAACATTGCCGAATATAAGTGCTGCACAAGTGCGTCACAACTATCCTACGCAATAAACCTACGGAAGTCAAATCGGCCACCTGTAAACAAATCTATGTTATAAAGCTACCAATTATGAACTTTTAGCAAAACAAATCCTTGCTCAGCCAATATAATCGACTAATCATAAGAGCTCACCAAAAATTGGAGCGCAAAGTGCCGCTAGGCAAATAACAATAACGGACGGTGTCCGCTGCATTGATATCCCAACAGTGATCGCTATTGCAGCTCTGAAAGAAAAACGTTTACTGTAGTCTGACACGTTGAAAAAAAAACCATGGAGAGGCGATCGACGTAGACTATTGCTGAAGAAATCACATGAAGAAGTTCCTAGAAAGAGATAAAAACACGACAAAGAATAGGCGGAAAAAAAGAGACAGACAAACAGACTTAAGAATAACTTGCATGCTACGACTTTATATGACGAAAAGGTTTGTTAAAAGAATGAACACTCTAAATGTTACATGGGAGGTGGGTTACTGCCATGTGGAGTAGGGACAGGCGGCAGAAAAGTACAGAAATGAAGATGAACGATTGAGGAGACGTATAAGATCGTTCCGTGGGAGCGCTGGTACGGGCGGCCACGACGTCGCGCTCGTAAGCGTTCACTATTATTGAGTGCAATACATGAACTGAAGGAAGCAGTAGGAAATCAGCAGACGTGCTACAGTAGCGATACAGCGATAATTATGTCTGGATCTTGTACATGGCAGTCCACATTGACCAGGAAGTGGCTCGATATTTCACATGTCTTCGTTTGCTAATAAATACGCGACAAGTAGGCCTGGACACGCAACACGCCACACAGCCAGCCAGACGCCAGACCACCGACGCACGCGCTTACTAGCTACTACCTTTCCTTGGTTGGTAAACCCTTGTCCTCCACAGCTGATTTCAGCACCGCTCAGCTGTGGGAGCTCTGTGGCCCAGTTCCGCCGGCGAATGTGTTGGTAATATGCGTAGAGCTCATCGCGTGCCAAGTAGCGGGCGAAGACATGAGGCTGCGTTCATACCTCCCATCAGCGTTTTTGGGCGTATGGCAGGGTTCTAAGCGTGAGCCAAAGTATGAAAGGGTACAGCAGCGTTTCGAGCGACTAGGAAAGTAACTACAGATATTGATGCGGCGTTTCGAGCGTACGCCAGCGCTTTCGCTCAAATGCTGACGCAAAGTATGAACGCATCCTAGAGGACATCCAGCTGTCATAACCCTCCCTCGTCTTTTCCAGGCACATCTGAAAGGCGAAAGTGCCACAATTCTACGTCTGCAGACTTCCTCACCTCGCACAATGAATGGATTCACCTTGCAGATAATCGCGCAGCATGACCTTGAGAAGCTTAGAGACATATCTTGTCACTTTAAAGAGCTTAAAGACATATCTCCTCATGCTGAATAGTGAAACCACGTCCATCCGATAATAGCTCTCCAGTCTCGAGAATCCATTTCTTCCCTTGAATTTTTAGTTCTGTGACAAAATAGTTTCACAAGACACGGACTAAATGAAGGCTGGCAGAAGGCAGCTGAACTATCACTGTTTTTTGTACACTTTCCACATGTCACCACTACGCACTGAATAAAAGGAAATACTGAACCACGAAGAAGTACCAGATGAGAATTCAGACCCATGACTACTCCATCTCCGTTTTGCCACGTACCACCGGCTGGCACGCAGGCTTCCACTGATGACTCACAGAAGATCGGACACATCTTCCGCGCACAGAAATGTCATACCATATTCAGCAATCGTCGATGACAGTCCCCGCGCTCAGCCACTTCGTAGGCGTTTTCTTTGTACAAGTAGGTTGGCCTTCCGTTTCTAAGATTTTCCCTTTTTAGCGGCTCCGCACTAAGTAACGATGGGCTGCGGTCCTCATAAGTGGCAGTTCACACCTCCCTAGTTGTCCCGCCCACCGATACTCACGGGCTATTTCCTGTCACGAGTCCAGTGGTATTAACACTGAATGATGCTACGAAGCGGTTAGCCATGGGCTTCAGGGTATCGCTTAGCTGGGACAAACTGAGCAGGTCCCGAAACATGTACCAGAAGGCTCCCAGGTCCTTACTTACGGTGCCCTCCACAATTTTTGCTTTTTTTTCTCCCACGTAGAGCCACTCAGTGAATACGAAACGTAATGTAGGAAAGCATCTCTAGAGAACAAGAGTATGCTAGCAGAAAGAACTTTTTGATTTGTCGTTTAAATCGTCAATAATAAATGGAGATGAAACGCTGAACACAAATCGCTATCAAATAACGCACACAAAACATCCTTCCTGTGGCACCTTAATATATTCATGACGTACGTGATTTTCGCATTGCCATTGGCCGCGGCAGCCCTAAGAGCTGCCGTCATACCACGAAACATTGAACTTTCCAAACTCAGTAGTTTTATTTTACTTTTCTATTACTTCTCGAAATCCCATTTTCTGCATTGCAACGACGCACATAAAAAAAGGGGGGACAAAAAAAGACACTTTTCTTCCTCGACTTTCGAGGCGATATAAGTTACACTTTATTAAATTCTGATTGGACATTTCCACCACCATATTCAACAGCATATTGTACACTATCATGATACTCCGCCACAGCCTTCTGGACGAGCGCCATCGAGAGATTCTGCCACGCGACCGTGATTCGGTGCCTGAGTTCAGCGAGATCGTTGATTTCTCCGCCACTGTAGACCACCCTGTTGAGCTCCGCTCGAACCCGGTAATGAGGGGGTTTAGGTCAGGTGACACACTTAGATATTCCGTCTTCTTCAGGTACTCAACGCCCTTCCATTCCAAGTAGGCGAGTGTTTTTCCAACGCCTTTCGATTACGTGTGGTGGGCACTAAATCCTGCTAGACAGAAGTTCCGAAGGATCGTACGCGGTGACGACATGAAGTCTTCCTCGTGTTGATCGATGTAACAGCCAGTGTTCACTTTTCACTTTCAGACAGAGGCCCACGAAGAAAATATCGGACATTCCAGAAACTTCCGGTCCATACCATCAACTCACGCATTGGCGATTGCGTTGAAGATATCCTGTACCGTAGCAACGTTGTCGGAGCTGCTCAATGTTGGAGGTCTTCCAGATCAAGACTGCCGGTCTCCAGGTAGCAGTCCATCGGTGACTCCATACGAGAAGTTTTGCAGCTGTTTGGAGGTGATGTGAATCCCATAGGCCTTCTCCAATCCGGCTCTGATTGGAGATGGCTTCATATTTTGGTGTATATGAAGGTGACGGGCGAGAGCCTGCTTCCTGCTTATCGAGGACCATCATTGCGGTCTTACCACCCTCGTACGGTAACTGTGATCCTGTCCTTGTGGCTGCGAAACTTTGCTGATATGTGACCCGACCGAAGGGTCCTTTTTTGCCCTCCCCCCGTATAGATACTTTTGTACACTTGCCACAAATATAACGCTATTTTGGAGGCAGCATCGGGCTCTAGAAACTAATGTCGTATTCGTAAAAAGGTTTTTAAAGAACTCTAGTCGTAGTTTATGCCGATTTTAGTGGAAAAGGCAGTGACGGCAAACGGCGCTAGAAATCAGAGTGAATGTCATATTCGTGATCAGCGTGTCAAGTGATCTCCATGGACGTTACAGCAGGAAAAAAACCGAAATTTTGTAGTTGTGGTTGTTATATGGTGTCAGCTGTTTAGATAAAATCGTTTTCTTCACAGCTTTTCACAAACGACGCAAATTAGAAGTATATCAAGGAGTAGGTAATTGGTTGATAGGAATACTAATTATATCCGTGATCGGCGGCAACTTACGGATCTGCAGTCCCTACGGACAGCCACCGGAGGGAATGTGGTGAGTGTTTCTTCAGTAACAGCCGGAAGCAGGAAGATGTCAACAACACCGCACGGGCCGACCTCTAGCAGGCACATTTTGCGAGTTCTCCGGACCTATGCGAGCAGCTATATCTCGCCGCTCCCGGGCTTACTAATCGTTTCTTCGCGTCATCCAAAGCTGATACCATCTAACAATGAAACCAAAAACTTAGGTAACAACTGAGTCGCACAGAAAATAGCCTTATGGAGTTTAGGCAGCTGTGACATCTGAGATGCGCAGCCTTCATAGGAGCCAGAACTACCACCTATGAAGGCTGCAGCATCTCTTTAGTCTCCGTGAAGCCGCGAACGTGAGACAGTCTCACAGACCGCGGACCAAACTCGTTGAACAACGAAGGACGCCCTACCGAAAATGTTTATAGGCGGATGACTGTCTTTAAGTCATGATTCGCTCACCGACTGCGCATACAACGGCTCTTTTATCACAGAGTGGACCTAACGCCCAACGTGCAAAACCTTTCACCTTACTGGTCTAATGATGTTCACTCTACAGCTTACAACGTCGCAATCATTCGGGGCGGTTTCAAGATGAGTGGAATGGGTCCAATCGGACCCTTATACCAATGGCTGTTTCCTTCCTAACGATCGCTGACCGACCACCCCTGATACAGGCGGAGGCAGGTTCCCCCTCCTCCCAGGGCACGCCATCTTTGTGATCATCACAACAGGGGGGTCGTATTTGCCCGCGATGGAGGGGGGGGTCGTAAACGCATGGCCCATGTTGAAGTGGAGAGAGCGGTGATACACGGTACAAGTAAAAAGAAGCTCAAAAGGGACGATGTAGATGACAATAAATAGAACTATGCACTATCGAACTATTCTAGCAAAAACTAAAAAAATATTGCGAAACTTCCTCCTTCTGGTCTGGGTAACCAATCCACTAATTCGAAAAATTTAGAAAAATCATTGCCAAAGCACCTAATGAAACCGTAGAGATGTCGAGCAATTTCCTCACAACAAAACAAACTCAACAAAACAATATCAATAACTAAAACAAACAAGTAATTCACAAAAAAGTTAAAAAAAACTCCCGTCAGCGGGAACCGGAAGCATGATTACTTGAATTTTGGGCTGTTCGCGGTCAGCGCGCTCATACAAGCGCATTGGTGCGCGCTATTTTACGGTTTGGAGCCAATTTCAAGCCAAACACGTGAAAAGTACCCCTCATTTGAACACCCATAACTTCGTTGAAGTGAAAGCTATCGGAGAGGGTAAGTGGAAGAGTAGAGTAGGTTGCTTCTTATCATGTGAATTGAGGTCGATTTCAAAACGTTCCGTTCCAGAGATTTCCCCGTTGGATCATCTTTTGTGATCCACTAGTGATCATTTTTGCGAACCGCGAGTCGCTACGCTTTGGACGTC